GCTTTGGCCCTTCCCTAGGCCTACTCACCATGACAATATCCAGGGTGAGTCTAAGTTCCAGCCAGAAGAAGCTCCTCTGCCTTCTGTTGCGAGGCCTTTCTGCTAAGCCCTGGCAAAAACTAGGCTTATATGGCCAGGGGTACAGGCTTTCCAGCCAACACAGCCTGGCTCTTAAAGGCTCAGACCCTTATCCCTCTGTTTCAGGGGTGTCAAACTCATCTGGCCCCCAGGAGCAGTCCTCAAGGGTGTCAGGCTCATCAGGAGGTGTGGCTCCGGACTGGTCTATGGATGCTGCATACAGCATAAGTCCCAGACAAACTGGAGTGGGCATTGGAAGCAATGGAGTTCTGAACTGGTCAAATCTGGTGCCAATCCAGCATGCAGGGGGACCCACAGAACTGCCGCCGTACTACCCCACGTGCCAGATTCAGTGCTTACTCTGGCTAGTCTGGGACTGCACTACACATGACCCACACTTCAGGACTTGCACTGTATGTGGCACCCACCCTGGACCAGTCGGAGTAGTCTGCGTGCAGCTTGTGTACCTGACTAGCCAGAGCAGGCATTGCATGTGGTGTAGTCCCAGACCTGCAAGAGCAGGAGCCACAGGCACTAGAGCTGTCATGGAGTGGGGAGGGTCACAAGACTGAACCCACATAAGGCAAGCATTGCGGCGTGGATGATGTGGTGCCATGGGCCATCCTGCTGTTTGACATCCAGAGCCGTCTGTAAGGGTGTGCGCAACCTGGGGCACATTAGACTGTGCGGAGCCCAGAGCAGGGGCAGGGGGGGTTGGGGGATGGTGAGCAGCCAGACCCAGCAGTGTTCAGTGGCAGTGGCAGAGCCAGCAGCAGAGCATGACGACAATGTCCATGGGGCCCACCAAAGCACACGGCCTGGGGAAGTCGCCGTGATTCGCCTTCCCCATGGACGGCCCTGTTGACATCCATGCCTATTCTATCTCTTTGTAATGGGGTTAGGGACCTCATGTTACAGAGAGACAGTAACATATTTATCATTCTCGTTTGTGCGTTAGATATCTACAGAACTGCCGCAAAGTACAGCAGGTTTAAAAAACAAGAAACAAGATAGTCCACATTTTCCTTTTTTTTGATATACAGGTAACTTGTAAAAGGTTATTCTGAGAACACCTCATCTGTGAAGTCTTCTGTGAAAGCAGGGGAGAAGTTAAATATAAATTCAAAAGTTATATTTAAGACCCCCAGGACCACTTCCTAGAAACTGAAAATCTTATAGATTCCAGTACCACATGGCACATGGAATCTTATAGAAGATGGTGGGAAAGGAAACTTAGCTTTTGAAGTCATGGCAATAAAATCATTGGTTTCAAATGAGACCTTCCAATAATGCTAACATTGGTGGTGCTGCATTATAAAAAGGCTTAAGCGTGTGTGAATTCTGGTGTTACGTAAGCAAAAGCAAGCCTGCCCCTTTCAAAGCAGAAGCCCTGAAAACAGGCTGAAGTGAGAGGTCGAGTTGTTCTTACAATATTCTGTCATTTTAAAATACAGTATGACTGTATTTGTTGAAATACTTCATTGTGCAAAACAACCCACGTCTCCTCAAAAAACCCACTTTTAAAGTGAGCAGTGATTTTCTTACAACAGAGATGTCGAACTTATCTGGCCCTGTGGGATTTAGTGCTCATGGCACCTGCTCTGGGATCCATGCTGCATGTGGCATCTGTTCTAACCAGTCTGGGATGTGCACCACATGTGGAGGCAGGGCAAAGGCAGGTGGTCTAGTGCAGACTGCGTGGGCCAACTATAAGACCCAAGGGCAACACTGAGGGCACGATTAGGGGGCTCTGTGGAGCAGATCCAGCCCACAGGCCCTGTTTTTGACAGCCCTGTGCTAGAAAAAGGAAACAAAATGCTAAAACCAAAGTAGTTTTGACCAAAGCATTATATGCTCATAACCATCAATTTATTTCACACATGTAATTTAGGTTAACTTGAGATGACATCACTCTGCCGTACTCATTTTCTTGTTATAGTACAAAAAGAAAAGCCAGAGATTTATCATGTCATTTATCTGTCCTCCATTCTTTTGAAACAGAAGAATAGCAGATGGGCAGTGAGCAGTTCAACAAAGGCCCCTTAGTGCTTGTGTTCTAGCGAGAGATACAACCAAGAAACTCAACTAGAAACTGCAGGTGGTGCAATAAAATTTATGCTGACTTATCTTTAGTAAAGATTCTGTCAGTCTCTAAATCAATGATCTCTACTTAGGAAATTTTGTACAGTTTAAAATAGCTAGATCAAACCAAGTGTAATTGTTTTAACATCTACCTCCCAGGAACTTGTTGGGATCTGTTCATCTGATGTGGCTAGATGGCAGATGTGGATTTATATTATATCTGTTCTAAATTCTAGGTTTATGGTTTGTATTTTCCCCATTTCCTAACAGTTTGCAGACCCTTATCCACTATTTTAATGTACTACCTTTAAGAGAATCTAATAAGCTAAAAAAGAGAGTTATCAACAGAAAGATTTATTAATCTAGTCACTCCTCCTACCAATCAAGAATGAGTTACGTAAGTTAAATAGTTATTGTTTAACACTTCATAAGAAAAAAAATATAAAAGAGAAAATGCCCCTCACAACTAGATCTGAGACTACCATAACAAATCAGAAATGCACCAGAAAGAGGGTTTTAAAGCCCCTGATGTTTGCATCACCACAAAACAAATACTGCTTTGGCTAACACATGCTTAGAACAGAAAACATGAGGGGACAGATCTCAGACCTTCAGAATAACAGGGCCTGATCCTGTGGGGGCCCCAGCCACCCCAGGGGAACTTCAGACTTTTTAGCATAAGTGCCAAATGGAGCTCTTCAGGAAAACAGTATTGCGTGCTGTCAACGTACAGATTTCACCATATGAATAATCATAAATCTGATTTTTATTAAAGAGGACAGATCAATAGGCCCTTTGTTCCATGAAGATGTTTTCTCTTGGTGATTCAGAGCAGATGGAATTAAGTCACCATTCTCATTCACTGTGAACTAAGGACAGTTACTCCATTCAGCAAATATTGCCCCAGATCTTGCTTGAGGAATCCCACTGAAGTCAATAAGATGATTAAAGCAAAAAGGTAAACATGTTTACAATAAACATTTTTTTTAGCATTTGAATAAAAGTAATTGAATACTGACTATTTGTTCAAATGTTTAATTTTTAAAGAGAACTTACACTACCACTGCAATAGATTCTGGAAATCTCAAATTTCATAGTTTTAGAAACCACAGTGATTTGAACTTATTTCTTTTAATTTGTTATGAATCACAAACTAACTTGTGCTAAAAAAGATATCACAGCTACACAGGTGAAAAAAATGCATGAGTGAGAGAACAAGCAAAGACATAAACAACCAAACGACAAATTATAGCCTGAATTCTGTAATGTACTTTAGCACGCGCTTTATTTCAACAAGTAGTCTCATGAACATAAATGGGGATATTCACAATCTTAAATTATACGGATGCTCAAATACTTTACTAAAATGGGTCGTTATAATACATTTTAGGCTATAGTAGAAATGAACGCTTAGCCTAATCTCACACTTAAGAAAACACAACCCCTGTACAGACAAAAATAGTGGTAGGGTTACTTATGCTTAACCTTTAAATAAAAAAATCCTCCTGAAATATTACTGTGGCACTTGGTAGTGCTGCTATTGTAGAGTCAGTCAGCATTTCCATTCTAAACCTTTATCTGAGAGGTTTAAATACCTCAAAATGAAAAAATGCTGCAGGATGAAACTAAACAGAAATCTTTCCAGAGCAGCAGCTGTTAATTAAAAAAAAGAAAAGAAAAAAAAAGAAGTAATAATAACACCTCCAAAAACTTAAGGGAAAGAAAGAAATGGGATCTTTACTAGTACCAATATGGCTTTATTTCTTATATATTTGCATAAAAATAGATAATTTAAAATGAAATGTCACGGATGTATTTGAAAGTAGTATACTGTCATGTGAGTGAGATATTAGGATTCAAAAAGCAACTATAGATGTTTTCAAAAAGCAACTATTTCTGACATTTTTTATAATGGGGTTGGAAGCATTGACCTGCAGCACAAAACAGGGTCCAATTCATTTGCATTCAGAGGACACTGTACACAATTTAAGCTCCTGGTGTTTTGACACAATTTTTAACTCAGAATTTAAACTCTGATGTAGTGTCAACTGACAGCAATGGAAAGACTCCCATTGATTTAAGCAGACGCAGAACCTGAAGTCCTCCCAGGCAAAATGCATATTGAAATTACCAGAAAGGAGCTTTTTCTGAAGACATTTTTTAATCAAAGTCCTAAGACCTGGATTCTGTCTCCATTAAGTAAAAAATACAGCTCTTATGAGAGCAGGACCAATGAAAACAATGGTCTTGTGCTCATTTCTTTTTTGGCCAAGGATGCATTAGGAGAGCCTGACGTACTGTTCCCTTCCCCCTCCTCCATTTGTTGCTTATTTTTTACATGAGAAAATCAGAATACATCTCCCCTGAAGACCACTGAAACCACAGAACAGTCAAGATATTGCAAGTTGGGCATTTGAAGCTGTCTTCAGCTACAGAAAATGGGTTTGAGAGGAGGAAACCTAACAGGCAGGAACTAGCCTGCCGTAAAAATGCAATGGGTACCGGACACTTTACTTTTACCTCAGTACTTTGCAAAAATCAACCAGAGCCAGAGGCTGTCTTTGCCTTCTGCGTGAGGAACAAAAAGTGATGGGCCTCCATTAGGCGAGGGGCAAGCGTGTGCGAGAGAGTGAGCCAGAAGCACCGCGTCTCCGTCCCGGGTGGGGGGGCAAGCGCGGCCGCGGCGAGGTGCAGCGCAGGCAGGGCCGGCACTGCAGGGCTCCTGCGCTGCTCCGTAGCGGGGGAAGCCAACCCGAGACCGCGCCTGAAACAAGCTCGACCGCTGCGCCGACCTGTGCTGAGGAGCCACGAGCTCAGGGCCCGCCCCTG